ACGACTACTACGACTACGACGACGGCTGCGACCACCACTGCTACGATGGCTGCGATGTTTACGACGTAGCCATTGAGGATCAATGTCGTAGATAAGGGTATCAACACTTCAAGCATCAAAAGATGTAGCACTGCCCGTGCACGGTGATGCTCTGGAGGCCTTCGCAGGAGACGGCCATCACACGAAGGTTGCCCAAGAAGGTGCAAGTGTGGCAGAGCTATGAATTGAAGCAGGCAATGAAGACCCTTGGGCTTATGATCAGAGCTAATGTGTCGGCTTCTGCATTCAACGTTGTCCATATTCTGTCGGGTAATACGGTGATTGTGATGATGCAATTGACGGAAACATAATGTGTTTTCAGACGACGAGCGCAAAGGAACAACTCCATGCACGATCCCATCTACGAAGTCCAGGCCTTGCAGACAGGCTATGATCCGAACCTCTACGCGATCAAGGGCGAGCAACCGGCATCCCAAAGCCAAGCAAACCTCAGCCACATGCAGAAGATGCCACTCGACCTGGAGCCTAGCAGCTTAGCATCTGAAATCAAATTCAGAGCGCCTCAGCTTCTGAAGCCGAGCTCGAAGAAGGCTTGAAACCCTGAGAGTCCCAGCGCCGTCCAAAAACGAGCCACAAGTCCCCGGCCATTTTCTGCTAGTTTAGGCACATTACGGCGACTCTAGCATGTGTATATGCCTGGTTGCATGCGTTCCCTTACCAGCAGTTCTTTGCAAGCTTATTACCTTCCCTCCTGCGATCTCCTTCGTATCGAATTTCCCTGATTTTCTGCTACTTGATTTGGTTCATAACTTTCGAGCCAGAAGTGTGACAGAGACCTTGTGGTGGCATGCTTTGCAGTAGCAGCGAGTAATGGTACCGTTCTATTGTTCGAAGTGTCCGTAGTTGTCTCAGTGCCTGTAGTCTCAGTGCAGTTGCCTCGTGTCTGTCGCTGCGGTGGTAGAGGGAGGAGCGGCAGCCGTATCTTTGGATGGCGGAGGAGTCCTGATGATATTCAACACGAGGACAGTGCACATACGTGCAACCCGGATCAGTCCACATACTCATGTACTGCGAATATCAACACATGCATGCTGAGACCGCTAGACAAGGTTCGAGAGCGTCCCGTACCTGGACTGCTGCGAGCGCCAGCAGAGGGCTGCCTGGCGGGACTACCGGCAGAAGCTCATGAAGCTGGAGGCGCTTGCGGCGCTGCTTGTACCCTCAGTTTTTTTACAAAACCGGCACACTCTTTGACAATGGTTTTGCAGGTGGTCACGGTTTCTTCAGGTTGGAATCCGTTGAGGTCTCGAAGTGGTTTGATAATCAGCAGATCACAAGGGCTTTGGAAGGCCCTGCAGTCGCACAGGCCGAGCAAGGAAGAGGAGCGGTCTCTTTGAGTGCATGGCGCGAGAAGTGGGCGGCGCACCCTGGATAAGATCATCGTGTTTGGCAGGAGCAGTAGCAACTCAGTAGTAGT